AACATTTCAGATCTGTGCCTTTAACTGGCTCCCCACATTTCATACAAATTTTCTGAATTATTTGTCCTATGTTTGCTTATCTGTGATTCCAGAATGACTTGAAGTGATCTGACTGAGCAAATTTCCCAGAATCAGAGTCCTTAGACTGACATTCTGGTAAGTTAATACCAGAAGACTCTTTCAGAATACTTTAAAAAATGGGATCTCTATTTTTCTTTTCTCTTTCTTCCTCCCCACTCTTTATTCAGAAGCAATTGCAGATTACCACAGGGAGGGAAGTGTCTCATATATTTCCTTGTAAGTTGTTTTAAACCTCAAGTAGTTTATCCTATTTCCATTTATTAATACAAGACAGAGTGTAAAGTACACAGAGACACAACACATATTCATTTAGCAGTGACAGGTTAACCAGGCTTTCTAAAGAATATTAGGCTCTGTTCAGTCAGTGCCATTCTCCAAGTCTTTCTTTGGTCCATTGTGGGGAATCTGAATGAGGAATTAAACTCCCCTATCAGATAATAATCATTCATTCTGATGAGAGAGAATTTCCATAATTTGTCTGCCAAGGTGAAATTCCACACAGGGCAGAGGAGCAGCCAGAGGCAGGGAATCCACTTCAGCTGGCATGAGTCTATTGAAGCCTCAGACAACACAAAGGCTCCAGGTTGCTCCTTCCAAAAAGACTTTTTTACTGCAGGACATGGAATCACCTCCCTTCTGGAGAAGTTAATTGTGGTTACACCAAAGGCCAAATTAATTTCATCATCAGCTTACAAATCAAAGTTGGGTCAATAAGGACCTACATACTACTTCAAATAATAAAATCCCTAATAAGGAGAGGAATTATTTGCCCTCCCTTTGAAGTATTTCTCTTGGGAAATGAAATGGAGAAGGGCAGAAAATGACACCACCATCTATTTTATAAATTCTCAGTGTGTTTTCACATTCATAAGCCTTTAAGCCAGAGCTTCTTGGCTTTTCATGTTTTTTCAAAGGTGACTTGAAATTGTTTTTTGTGAGCATGCTCATCTTACTTTTGGCTTTCACCTACACATTTCTCTAGAAGTCCACTTTTAACTCAGAACCTGGCAAGTAATTTAGCACTTATTTATTGAAACATGTGCATGAGCCTTAAAACCACCAGACAGTTGCAGCACAAACATCTGTCTTTTCAAAAGATAACACCCTGTCAAAATGGCCCAGAGCAAAATCCCTTGCCTTGGTTTGAAGTAGAAGCAGCAGCAGCAGCTACAGTAGTTAGAGACCAAGTATTTTTGGAAAGATGACAGCTGGGTTGTCAGACATTAATGCTGAGTTACACAATGCTTGTATGCTAGAGCAGAGATGTAATAAGCAATTATTCTTACATTATCATATATGGGGCTGCCAAAGTAGTGTCTGAGAGGCAAGATAAAGGGCTCGAGGTCTGCACTGGTTCCATTGATGCTGGGGGGTTTCCATCAAATGGAGTTAAGTCTATTTTCAGTCTTGTCATCTGAAGAAGTATCAGCTTAAACATCTGTCATGGCAAAGAGATATCAACAAATGGCATCTCCAAGGCAGAATTATCCCCAGCATGAGAGAAGCAGGCGAGCTGGTTACTGTAACTGCTGCTGATCAGAATTTAGCTTCTTCATCAGCAGATTTAGTACAGAGAGTAAAATCATATTTACTTAATCTTCAGCATTGGAACTCTCGACAAATTTCATTGTATTTCACATATGTCATTTTTACACAGCACTGTTAAAAAGATCACTGCAGTCTTCAAAGAAAGTAAGAGGTCTCTGGGTAGTATTTATTTAGATCTTTTCTCATCTGGAAAGAGAAAATAAAAGAACTCCAGTCAGGGAGAAGGATGAGCAAACATATTGAATAGCTCCTTTGTCAAAGAAAACAGCCAAGCAAGCCTGGGGCTGGAAAACAAATGACTGGGGGTGATATGGCACAGGTCTGTGCAATTATAAATAAAGAAATTAGGAGAAAGGAATTGCTCTCTGTTTCTCAAAATAGAAGAACAAAAGGACAGCAAATGGGCTGTTGGGGTTACAGGATCCAAACTATCACAAGGTCATTTTCTAACATCCAGTTTAATGATCCGTTTAGTTAGACTAGTTAAACAACTAGTCAAAATCATGGCTATGAGCCAGAAATATATTTGAAGTTAAAACTCCAGCAGCAGAATTGATGGAAGGAAAAAACTCCATTGAGGACTTAGTAGATGTAATTTCTGCCTCAGTTGCAAAGTCTTACCCTTGTAATTTCTCCCTTGGTATGCACTGCTGGAGAGTGGCTGATGGCCCAAAGCAGACCTGAGGTGGATCTTCTCCTGCTCTAAATCACACTGCTGGAAATTTAACTCCTTCCAGTTGTCAGGAACCCACTGAAGTCAGGTGACCCATGCAGATTTATTCTGAGAGCCTCTATGTATTTGTAACTATCAGTAAAAAGAAAAGATCTTAGGAAAACTAAGAATATAAACAGAAAAGTTATAAGAAAAGTTATTCAAAAGTTTTTTCATTACCTTAAAATGACAACTGTTAGAAATTTAATTTTAAATAATTGTGTGGTTTTCCAAAAATCGTCATTCAACAGCTGCTCCATCTCATCTCCTGGCAAAGGTGGTAAGCACAGTTCTCCAGACATGACTTTGCTAAACCAAGGCAGGGTGTTATTTTCAGTCAGATTCCTCAAAAAAGATTTTTAGCCTCATCTCACACTTCTGGTTTCTTAGATTTCAGCTCAGATTAAGCAGTAACTCATCCAGAAAACACATGAAAATAGTGGAATCCAACACAATTAAATAAATTCACAGTCAAGTCATGTTAAGAAAGCTCAGTGTGTTTCCTCTTCCACTTGGGACCAACTGCCCAGCTGGTTTTGGGAAGAATGGCAGGCTTCAAGCACAATGGCAACTAAGCAGAAGCATTACTTAGACTATCAACTGATATGTCATCTGAAGACAGTTTTATGTGGTATAGATAGATTCAGTAATTATGTCACTGAGAGTCACTAAATATCGATTCTCATGTTAAACAGGATCTGCTTCCCCTTTCATTTTGGAGAGACTAAAACCTGTGAGATTCTGCTCCACATCCACTTTTCCAAGCTGAGAGAGAACTCTGTGCATGGGTGTCTGTCCAGCTGTGGAATTCTAGTTGTGGATAGAATTCCTGATCCCTCTGTTCCAGCACACCTGTGTTCCAGCTGGGCTCTGGCTTCATCCTTCCTCTGCCTGACCCACAGCTGGGCTGGCAGCAGTGCCAAATACACATTTAAGGGAGCCTCTAATGAATCCCCACTGAAATTCCATCAGCTGTGCAAAGTACATTGATTAAATGCTACTTGCCACACAGGTAAATGTTTTCTGGGGTGTGCATTTGTTGGTAAGAAAAATTGACTAGCAGGGTACCTGAAATTCATTCACAGCATCTATTCATAGCACATAGACACATTCTGCAATTATAGTCACTATTAAGGAAAATCAACAAAAGGCTACAGCATTATCTGAGCTTCTCCAGCAATTTCCTCTCACAAATTAGGCATGCCTTACTTTTTCTTTTGTTGTCCAAGGAAGTATTATTTGTATAATGTTCCACTGTGCTTTAAATAGTTTTCCAGAGCATTTCTCAGATGAATTAAAAATAAAGTTACCTGCAATTGAACTACTGTTATTCCTTTGTTGCCTCAGATTCTCAGTTTCAGATGTGCCAGGGTTAAAAAAAGTCCTCTCTAACTCTCACAAAGCCCTCCAGGGAGTCCCTGTCACATTTAATCTTTCCCTGTCTCCCTGTTTCTCAGGGTGGCTTCTGAATAACAGCAGTTTTGTCTATTTTGTTTGCTCTTTCTCTTACACACACCCAGTTGAAGAAAAGTAATTGAAACTATGGCATCTCACCTTGCAGTATCTTGTGTAGTTTGAACCGAGATGTGTCTAGAGATCAAATTTCTGCTTATCAAGTGCATAAATGGGATCCAAAGCCTGGAGACATCACTGAACTCTGCAGGAGTTCACTTGCTGAGCAGGTGTTCATGGCCCACCACAGGAAGAGAGATTTGGGGTAGAAATAGCTTTTCACCTCTACAAACTGAGGAGCTTTTTGCTGCAATTTGCACCTCTGGACCTCCCAGTGACACCCAGGTTGCTCTGAATGAGTCTGGCAGCGCGGGCTGAGCACAGCAGTGAGCCATCAAACAGCTCCGTGTCTCCCGCCTGGCTTTTGCTGTGAAACGCAAACTGGTGATGCTGCAGGAGCTCTGTGTTTGCTACACTTGAGCCACAGTGGCTGCATCTCTTTCCATGCCATGGTGCACACACTTCTGACTCACCATCAGAAAATTCTTCCCATTTCCTACACAACTGACCATTTCCTTTCAGTTATGCAATTTATTTTTTTTTTTTAAGTAGAAGCTTGATTTTCTTTTTATGTTAGTTTATACAAATAAAACAATGGCCAGTGTTAAGCAACCTCCTTTAGAAATGAAGCAGAAATGGGCTGGTCAGGCCTCATCAGACAAACAGTCTTCTTTTGAGATAAACCACCCTATTTCCCAGAAATTGAAGTCTCATGGAAATCATCCCTGCATCTGGAAACAGCCAGGATTCACTAAGCATCTGGTCTGCCTTCCACAAAGGGGGAATCTTTGCATCAACAATTGTCTAATTTGAGGGTTTTTTTATAAAACTGCTATGTTGGATGGAACAATTTTGGACCTTGAGCATTGTCAAAGAATTCTGTTCCCTAAATATCTCCAGTGCAGAGCTGCTCTTGTTTGTAATAGTGTGTGCTTACATCCTCTCCTTGCTTTTCTATTGACAGAGACATTTAAAACCTTAAAGCTGATTTTTTTTTTTAAATTAAATACTTACATGTTAGGCTTCTGAAAGTCTCTTCTAGGGATTTATGCTTTAAGTTCATTCTCAAAACCTCATTCTTATTAAACTATAGTGATATTGGGATATTAAAACATTAATTCTGTGAGGATTTTTACTACTCCCATTTTCTTTCAGAACATCACAAATTATCATTTTGTTATTATGCTCTTGTGGAAACCTATTCTTGGTGTGAATGATAAGACAGGTGTTTGTCATTTTGAAGACTGGTAAAGGTATTTTAAGGCAGTACTTAGCAGCATAAATTTAGTGTTCTCTAATAATCTACCTGAAATGTTCAAGAATATTTTCTATGCAATTATGAAAATAGACTAGAAAAATTATACACATTCTCAGGACTGGATTACATTTTTATATTTTATCACAGAGTAGTTAATTTCTGGCTCCTTCTTGCAGGACCTAACCCCATTTGCTGGCTCTTTCCAGAGGCAGGACTTTGGTACAAATGACACAGACAGGTAAATTACAGAGGCATCAGTGTCCCAAGCAGCTCTTTGGATGTTTGTCCCAAGGCTTGGGATCACTTTGTGGTGGGAGGTTAGTGGTTCCAGAGGGGGAAAATAAAAGAACCACAGTGAAACACCAGCCAGAAATGGTACTTCAGGGATGGAAATGCTCTCATGCTCCACCTCTGACTGCTGCACTTTACATTTTCTGCAGTACATTTTCTTCTGCTCTTGCCCAGCTCGTTTTGTGTTTTACTGCACCCAGTGAAACAGGTTGGAGTGCTTCCCTCACAAAATCACAATGAAGCAGCCACACAACCTTTCTGTCAAATACATTTTGTTAATTTTCCCTTCATTTGATCTCTCCTATTTGCACCATGTTTCACAGTTCTTTGTATTCCTGTTCTAAGTATTTCCTCTGCAAACCTGGCCTTAAAATATCTGCTGGCTGCATTCCCTGCCTTATGCTTTAGCCAAGCTACGTCTAAATTACCTTAAATTTCTTTTTTATCTCATGTAAATGCTTACAATTCTTTGGCTAGGTTTTTTGGGGGGTGTGTTAATGCTGTGCTTTGCCACTCCTCTCCCCACCAGGGCCCTCTCTCCCATCAGCAATGGATTTGTGGCACTGAGATGTCCAAGGGCAGCTGCTGGATCTCACCCTGAGGATTCCTGCTGAGCTTCTCTTGTGGAAGAGCTGGCATAGACAGGAAGAAAAGCTGCTTTTAAGGTATGCTAAGATAAAAGTGAGCAGCAGCAGCTCTGTGAGAAACTCCAGGGTTGCTCTTGCTGCCCTAGGATAGTTGACTGTAAACATATTTTGTCTGGATGCCCATTTTTATTTTAGGCATTCCTTAGAATTGGGCCTCTTTTTTATAAGAGATAATTTCTTGTTAAAGTTGGTCTTTGATCTCCAAGTGGAGGTTTGGGAACAAGTACAATTTGAAATATTTCTTAACAGCAGAAATTATAATAGTAGTTGTGTTGCCTTTTTTAAAGTAAGTTTTGTCTCTGCTAGTGAATATCTGCAATTTGTGCTATTGTTCCTCAGATGAAAGTGTGGGGTTTTTTTACAATGAAGAATTCTACTATCATAGAATTGAAGAGTTCTTTGGGTAAATAAACCTCCTTTAATCTCTTTAGTCTTTCACTTGGATCATTTTTCCACTATAGATCTAATAATTGAGATGAAACCCATACAATATTTTATTCTTTAAACTGACAATGTGGGCAACATAAACAGCTGGCCTTTTTCCTTCTTTCACATCTATTTTGTGACAGGGGTGGTAGCCAAATGCACAGCCCACTGTCCTGATGTCACTAAGGCCAATGAGGCAATGACCTGGCTTTCTTTGTCCAGCTGTAAATTTTTAGAAGGTTTGGGAAGATTTGCCTTCTCAGGGGGGCTATGAATTTTCATTTCCATTAAAATTTATTCCAAAAAATGACCACAAGTCACTTTTAAACACAGAAGTTTTGCGTTTGTTTTTTTGGTTTTTTTTTAACTGCATAACTGCAGCTGTTTTCTGCCTGAGAACCTGGGTTAGCACGTGGTGTGAAATATTGCTACATGCATTTCAGAAAGTCAAAAGCCCAAATATTGTTGCTGTGCAGCAGAAGTGATGGGGTTCTTGAGAACATGAGTGGTGAGCAGTTACTCAGATTAATACCAGGATGTCTGCAGCCCACTAAAGAGCATTGGCAATCACTCAGACACCTGAGGACTGCACAGGGAGGACTTTCACAGCAGAAAATGATCAGATATTTTGCTGAAAATACATAGCATTTCTGTGAATAAATGAAGCTCAGAGTCCTACTTGGTATACTCAGGATCTAACTAACAAAGAAGATTAAATGTGAGTGGGAGATGCATGACTTGAGATCAAATCAATGGAAACACACACAAGAAAGTGAAGGAGAAACCGGTGAAATGTGTAAAAAGATGGATTGGGAAGTGGATTTGAGCTCTTTAAAAGCTGAGGTCTTGAGGTCTTCAAAAGTTATTTCACAGACACGTCCTCTTCATTGAAGATTACTTGATGTTGCTGGGGTCCCTCTGTGCAGTGTGGCACTCACTGCTCTGCCTCAGTAAAGAGGTGGGTGGCAAAATCAGGACTCAATCCCCAATGCCTGTGCCTGGACACACCTGAGGGAGCCTTGTAACCAGGATTTTTTCCAGGGGCTGCAGAAGGAGGAAAGGGTCCAAACCCACATTCCTCCATCAGCCCAGGTGCAATTAAGTGGCCTTTCTGCATTTGCAGTTCCCTGTGTCTCAATAGATAGTAGTTAATAGTTTTAATTATCTGCAACCAGATAATTAATTCTGATGGGCATCTTGATAGGAACAACTTGTCATGGCACAAGGCTTCATAAAGTTGACAGTGGCTCTCTAGGCAGCAACTGCTTTTGATGGAAGATCTCCAAACTGCTTAAGGTATGTTTGAAATATTAAAATAGAAATGGTTGCTTTGTTTCCTGGCTGGCTCCAGCTTGAGCATTAGGTCACATCAAAGTCAAAGTGCATTTTTAATGATCAGTGCTAGCTGGGGTGCTGAGCCTTGAGGAATGGAGTGGGAAAGGGGAGATCAGGACTAAATTGGCTTCTCTTTAGGATGCTGGAAAGAGAAAGGCAAGCAGGAATGACCAGGGAGTGGCAATGATAATGTTCCATAGTCACTTTTCAGTGTATCTCCATCAGAAACAGAAACAAAATTACTTCACTGACACTAAACAGATAATCCAGCATCCACGCCTGGATTATTATAAAAAATAGTAATAAGAAATATAATAATAAAAATATATGTGTGTAAAAACTAATATTATTCACAATGTCTAGTTGGACTTCAGATCATTATTTTATTATATCCAAGTTTGAGCTTAGTGTCCTTAATTGACCATGATTTCTTTCATCCAACAGCTTGGCAAATGACACAATGGCAAGTCTTGGACAATTAAATAAATATTTATAATTTAATTCCCAGCATTTCTCCATTCCACTGTTCCAAATGACCTTTAAAAAACACATTTTCAAGGGAATTATAACTTTCTTTGTGTAATGAGTAATGCAATATTAAGCATATACCTCAGCTCTTGAATTATGGCTTTATCTTTGATGTTAGTGATCAAATACTCATTGCCTTGATGATTGAAATAATTAGATATTTTATAATTTTCTTGAAAAGCTCAGAAGCAAAGTGCCAAACCCCTTGAAGGGCTGTTCAATATTTAGTTTACTGTCAGCAGAAGAATCATTGGGCAGGAGGATACTGCAACAGAGGGAAAAAAGCATTTGTTGTGGGAAGTCTCAGATTTTCAAAGTGAGTGCTTTTGCTTTACAACCTTTGCTGTGTTGCTTCTTCTGTTGCTTCTGTGTTGCAAAAAAAACCCCAAAACCTCAAAAACCAAAACCTGGAGTCCAGACCCACACCTGAGGATACCTATCACAACTGCAGGAGCATTAAAGGAAGCAGAGCCATCCCTTACCCAGCTCAAGGCTCTGCTCAAGCATCCATTCTGCTCTGACTTAAGTGGTGTTAAAGACAATAACACAAAGAAAATCTGCATTTTACCCTTGCAGAAGAGGTGATGCAAAGCTTCTATTTTAATGCACAAAAATAGAATTAAAGATCATATATAATTAGAACTGGATATGTAAATTCCTCAGGGTATTTTTAAGAACATCAAATAATGGCACCAATGAAATTCCAAATGTTTTTAAGGTTATAATTTACCAGTGGCATGAAAAGAAAAAATAGTATTTAGATCTTTGTTATGCTTAATCATTTCAAGCTTTCTGACTGCTGTGAGGATGTTGGGGAACATTAGAATAAAATCAGCTCGATGCTCATGCATAATGTGCAAGAAGTTTTTTGTTTGCTATAATTTCTACTCTTTCATACTAATTGTCATCAGCAGAGGATGCAGGCTGTAGTTGTCTTGCTAAATATAAATATAGCTACAGTATTTTTGTTCAATTTATTCATTTATCTCACCCTGCGTGTATACAGCATGTAAAATGTATCTCTCAAGAAAGATAAAGAGAGTATTTCAGAGTGTGTGCACTGTAGAAAAGAGAGGTGTAGAATGTATGAGTGCTTTTTATTTTTATTGAGAAACAAAATATGAGAGTGATTGCCATCCCTTTCTGCCACAGATTTTGGTTATGGCTCCATGCTCCAGATGCTTATGGAAGTGTGCAGAAATATATTCTCACAAAATGTCAGACATGGCTTGACTTAAATATTAATGCTCTAAAATGTCAATCATTTTAAGTATTATCTATTTTAAAAAAAAGAGTTCAAAAATGCTTCACAATAAAACACTGTTATACCTATATATCACTCTAACTAACACTTTATGTACATAAGTTCACAATGAGATTAAATGTTTGATTTCACCATCCTGAACTACTCCATTATAATGAATAATAGCGAGTTAAAAACACAATGTGTTTTTTTTTTAAACTTAAGTGTTTGAGGTGCTTTTATGAACATATGAACAGTTAAGTAATTTCTGAAGAAAAATATGTACTTATCCAAAATCAAGCACTGCATTTTCAAGAGGCTTTTCTTTTTCCTTTGCACTGGATCAGAAATAGAAAGATTGCAGCTGTTACAAAGTAGTCAAGGAGAAAAAGAATTACTGAGGGCATTAAAAGCAGGCAAGTGTTTTAATTTTCATTTTGGTTTTGCTACCCTTCAAACTAAGAGATGACTTCACTGTTTGCTTTCCTTCAAGAATGCAAGATTTTACAGAGAAGCTTGCAGTAATGAATATGAGCAAGAAACAGAGAGGCAGAAATATTCTGCTTGAAACAGACAATTAAACATGTGACTGTTCAAATGGGGAGATGTGAGTTAGCAGAATCCTAAGCAGAAATTCTATATATTTTTGTATTACTTCACACAACAAGATGTAACCTTTATAGTTCTCCAAGTGTTTAGAAAGCTGGATGCACAGTTCTAGAACAGACTTTGACCTAGAGAAACTGCTGAGCACAGATTTTATATTGTTGTATTAATGCATTTTATTTACTGTGAAATGTTCACATTATTGAATCCTATTTTTCTCACAGCTGGTCATACTGTGGAAAGCAAACCATCCAGTTTAAATAAATAAAACAATACCATTGTACTGGTAAGTCAGAAGATAGCAATTCTGTGTAATGGAAATGCAAATACAAATGCAATTTTTATTTCATGGATAAATGGAACTTGCAAAAAGGAGGTGCAATGTTTTTCCCCTCTTTTGTTCATCTCATCATTAGGTCACACACTAACCCATCCTTCATTCACCATATTCCATATGTTTTGGTGCACTTCAAAAGGGTTTATGAACATTTCTCTTCTGATCTAGTAGCTTGGTGAGCAGAGGTTGAGGGACTGAATTACCCAAGGTCTTCAAAAGTTATTTCACAGACACATCCTCTTCACTGAAGATTACTTGAGATAATAGCTGTTTGCCTCTGGGTCTCCTTTTCCTGTTGCAGAGTATTCTCAGCACAATGTCCTTTTAGGCAGCTCTCAGCACTGCAAACAATAAGCTGCTCTGTCCTCCCTCTATTTTTGCACACATTAATTTAAGAATAAATGTAAAAACAGTCTTAAATTGCCAATAAAAATTCTTATTGCCATATTCTTTTAAGTGGTCTAAAAGATGGTGAATATTTTACTGATGTTGTTTCTTTGTTGTTGTTGTTGTTGTTGTTGTTGTTGTTGCTATTTTTTCCCTACAAACACAATGAAGTTTAGAAAGGTGTGGCTTTATGAGAGTCATGATTGCAAAGTTAAAGGTGGGTAGAGAGAGAATATAATTATTAATATTATTATAATATATATAATTAATTCTCAGAATTAATATAATTCTGAGAATCTGCTGGGCAGATTCTCAGAACAACAATGCCATGCAGAGTGAGGAAGTGAAAGCCTGGGTTTATTGTTTTTCACATTAATCCTCCTCTAGTACTTGTAATATGTGCATTGTCCTTGAGGAGAGGGGGCTGTGCACAGAACATTCCCCACCTCGTCTGCAGCTCTGAGATGTGGGAGACTCACTCAGAGAGCAGCTGCTTTTCTTGGGGCTTATCCAAGGCAACTGGAGCTGTGAAGCTTTTGAGGATCACCTTTCACATTAAATCTGTTTTCTTCAGGAAATAAATTCTCACTTCAGCATGGCCTGTTCTATATAAGTATACAAATCAAGAAGTGTTTCTGATTGAAAGGGCACAAAGAGATTGCTCCAGGCTACTAATACCATCCTTGTGTGAAACAAAGAGAGATAACCAAGAGAGGGCTCAAAAGTGATAATATACACACAAAAATGTGCTATTTTTTCCAAAACAGCACACCTTCATCACCACTAGCTCAGATTCTTTATGTTTTAGTGACACTTACAAAAGTTCCTGCTAAAAGATGTAAAAGTAGGATTCAGTACCTGTGTTAAAGCTGCAGTATTGGAAAATAAGCTGATGAAGAACTCAAAGATCTGGATGAGAATGGAAAAATGTTTTTGTTTCAATACAAAATTAATGCTGCAATATAAGAAAAAAATTCAAACTATCTTCTAACCAAGGACTTTTATGCTCCTATCCTCAATATCTTTGAATCTGAACCTCATTTTATCTTCTAGCTAAGTCTGATTCAATTCCCCTCTAAAGGACAGAAAAACTTTCCATTCATTTCAGTGTGGGCTAAGTGAGGTGTCATGGACAAGGTGAAACAGATAAATGAGCATTTACAGAATCAGATATGAGCATTCCTGAGTCACAAAGGGATGATATGGTAATATATAGTACCCAATGGAAATGCTGAGCACCTGGAGAATGATTTTCATGAGGATGTGTCTTACCTTCCAGTTGGGATTGTCCCCTCTGAGGTCATAATTCAGTAAATACAGCCACACCTGCCTTACACAAACTCCCCCTCAGCAAAACAGTGATGAAATGGCCCCACACAAAGTGGGGTACCTGAGTCTGTGCTGGCTTCTGCACTGCAGAATAAAGCCTGAACCATTTCTACATCCTCTTGACCCAGGAGAATATCTACATATCTGAAAGATTATTTTAAAATTCAGTTTGTCCTCTATATTCTATAAAGGTATTTCTTTAATTCAGCGTGGTAGAACCAACTATGTAATAAGGCACTTCTCCTTTCATACTTTTTATATAGTGCTTTCCTGAGCTGTAGGTAAAAAGGTCATGATCTGCAGGAGATAAGGGTAGCAGATTGTCCAGTAATATGGATCATTTTTCTTGCCTGTCTGGAATTCTTATTGCAGTGCTAGATCCTCCACAGAGCAAAGAAAATGACAGGGAAAGTATCGACAGCATTCTCCAGCGCCTGCTGAGGTCCTTAGCCTTTAAATATTTCAGGCAGCATCTCTGATTCAGAATGAAAATGGACAAATGAAAACATGAACTGAGTTCTTCAGGATGGGAGTTGCGGGAAGAGCCAGAGATGAGATTTATCAGGGTATGGAATGGGTTTCTAGTGGAAAGTTATGGCAAATTAGCCTGAATATAGTACTCAGATATATGGCAGGAAGCAATTCCAGAGAGTTATGGCAATAAGCAAAGTAGCCTGCAGGTCTTTTTCATCTGGACAGTTTGGGAATGAGTCTGTGATTAGTTTCCCTCATGGCACAGTCTGCAGCTGGTAAGCAAGGAGAGGAAAAAAGTCAATATTATTTTTTTTTAAGTGTTCCCATTATTTTGCTCTCTGGCCAATACTCATTACTGTGTAAGTCAAGTTTCCCACTTACTGCACAGCACCTTGGAAACAATTTTGATTGTAGAAACAACCAATAGTCTCTTGGAGGCGGTGGCAGGAAAGTAGGGCAGAATCAGGAGGGAAAGACCAAAACTGCTCATCTCATCACTCCCCCCCGCCCCTTTTATAAGAGCACTCAGCTCAAGGTTTTTTTTCAGGCCATGTTCAATCTGCTGCAGTTTCAAAAGTCTCAAGTGATAGGGAATATTTTCTCACCATTTACTGGGAAGTTGGAGTGTGTCAGCTCCTACTAATAAATATCTGGTTTGATGGTGACATTTACAAGTCTCCTGCTCCTCTGAGCTCAGTGCACAAGTTAACAGCTCACATCCCAAAGTCAGCTCCTTAATTATCTTGTCGTTCCCCCAAAGATTTGTCAGGAATTCCTCTGATGATGCCCCAGACAGATGTGGTACCAGTGAAGCAGCTTTTGCCTTCAGCAGGACTTTCTGGATTCTTGAGGACACCTGACATGGCAGGAGGAAGTGACTCAGGTGGATTTCAGTGCCTGTTCCTCCAACCCCCACAAGGTTTTCCTAAAAATGCATTTGCTTGACTGCTACTCCACTTTTTCATCACACATTCAACAGAAAGAAGCAAAATCTTCCCTTGAACAATGTTCTGTATTATTGAAGGCAGTTTGGGGAAAAGATCTTGTATCTAGGACAGGGTAGAATATAAATTAACATGGAAAGGACGAGAGGAAGTTTAACACAGTGTATGGAATCCAGGATTTTTTTCATAATTTAATTCTTGCTTCTTAAAGAGATATAGATTCTTTCTCCTTATTCACAGATTTTCCACTGAAAATATTTTAGTAGCAGTCACAAGACAGGGAGAGAAGAGACCAGAAGATCCTGTGGTTCTTTAATTGTACCTATTCTTCTGTCTCCTTCATGAAATATTATAGGGAACAAATAAATATAAATTTCACACTTGTGGAATGATGCCTTCTTTATATGCAGAAATTAATTATAAATCCTTCCAAAGTAAATCCTTATGATCTCATCAAATTACTGTATTAAAAATCATCATAAAAATATCTTTCCATGTGAGACTCTCAAATATATGAAATGTAAATTAACTCTCAGAAAAGCAGCCTGAATGAATGCATTAAGCCTATTCCGTGGGTGGTTATACAGACACTTTGAACATTTTTTGTTCATATCTTCAATCACCTAAAGTGGCAAAACAGTAAAACCCTCAAGCCCTCCATCTGATTTGCTGCAACTATGGCACAGAAATCAGACAGGAAACTTTGGAGCAAAAATACTCAGGGATTTCATTAAAATATTTTATTCCTGAGCACCTGAAGTAAAAAAAAAAAAAAAAAAAAAAAGATTCCACAAAAGACTCAATATGTTGTTTGGCCAAATAACTGTTTAGAGGATAGATGCAAAAGGGAGCATCTCTATTTATCCTGAGAATCCAGCATACATAAAATCAAGGTGAAAAAATATCTATTAACACAAATCCACAATAGTACCAAAGTGTCTGAAAGTCTGAAAATGCACTTTCCTAGAAGATTTAATACTTTATCTAAAGGTAGGCAGGTATTTCAGACAGAGGCCTGTCAGTGTTTTCATTAGCTTAAATGATGGAAGATGTACTCATGTAAAATTTACAGTGTACATTAAACCATCAAGGGTGACAACATTCTTGAAGCCAGAATGAAGATTCAAAATGATCTTGATAAATTGGAAAGATGGTCAAGATTCAAGGAGATGACATTGGGCAAGTGGCAATGTCCTGCTCAGGATCACAAGGGAAGGGCAGAGCTGAAGTGCCTGTGAACAGTGCAGGGCTGTGCACATCCCATCTTGCTCCTTGGTAACACCACTGGCACATACAAAACATGGGAGGTTTTTATTCTTTGGTACTTGGCACTGATGAAAGTCTCATCCAGAGGTTATCACTCAGGACTAAAGTATCTTGAGAAAAAACAAAACAAAACAAAACAAAACAAAAAAACTGTAGAAAAATTGGCAGGAGTTGAGAAGCATCAACCACAGGAGTTTTAACAAACATCTCTGCATAAAGACAGAATAAGTTGCATCTTTCATTTGTTCTTTTGTTTCCAAAAAAGAGAGAGAGAAAAGATGATGATGAGAGATGCAATAATTACAATTTTGATAGTAAGAATACATTTTTAATCTATACTCCATAAAATATCTAAAGATGCAACTGAGGACAAACCAACCCCAAAAGGCTGAAGACTGTGATCAGTTTATTTTGCTTAGGAAATATATAAAATGAGTTTAAAACCAAAGAGCCACAAGTGCAAGATAAAAACTGTACTCAGTCCTTGCTCAAGACCTTGTTCTGTACCTTTTATTCTGAGAAACACTATGGCACTTGTGCAGAGCAACAAAGGAGGAAAACAGTGGAGCTGACATTAAACATACATTAGTCTCCACTTCAAATTTCAAAAAAATTATCTGCATTATTCACCAGGTTTGACAGTTGCCACAATACTAAAACAAAGACTATTATTTCCTTTTTGTGACTCAACCTACAAAACCTCTCTCATTACTGAGGACAAGACACCAGAATTAAAATTGCATCCACCCTCAAACAAGCAGCTCCACAAAATTCTCTCCAGCTGTTCTTTCCCACACTTCTGGCACACAGTGCAGGCTAAGAGCTTTTAGATGCTGAATCTCATGTAATGCTGTTAACAGCAATAAATATCTCTGCTGACATATTCTAAGGAGTTTTCAGTTAATAGTTAATAAAGGCAAGCAGTAAGTATTAGATTTGAAAAAAATTGCTTGAGCTAACATTCCAAGGTGGAGTTTTATTTCATTTTTCAAACATGTCTGATTTGTATATTTAACAGTGGCATTGACTAAAGACTGGAGAACTTGTATCCTCAGTGGTGGAAATGTAAATGGTATTCATTTTTAGATCTAAGCAAATTAAAGTGCATAATTCCTATGGGCTCTCATAATTAGATATTTAAGGTGGATTTTGGAGCAAAATGTTAAGCACAGAACTGCTTTAGTAGCTGTCATAACCACTGAGTGCTAAGGCAAAAGGTATTCAAAGACAAAGATAGCATTTAGGAATTTTGGTCCTAATGAAAAGCTTTGGAATTGATAACCTAAGCACTGTTCCTCTGGAAATATCCCTGTCTTCTGGTGGAATTTTTGAAAACCCTTTCCTGGGTGTCTCAGTGGTTTATACAGTGCCTGTTTGGGCTGAGCAACACCAAATTCTTTGTTAATTAATCTTTTCAAACACATCCTTTAAACATGGAATGAGTATTTGCAGCCTTGGTTTTGCTGAGCATTAACTCCAAGCAAGTGACATGCTGTTGGTATGAAAAGGCAAGACAGAGAAGCTGTTCTACAGAAAATAAGAAAATTCTGAAGAGGAAGGAGAATACCAGGGAGTGACTCTAGCTAGGATCACAAATTTTTGCCTAGAAAAATTAAATAATGGGAAGTTATGGGGGAAGGTCAAAGAATAAGTGACTACATGGCAAAAGAGAGTAAAAACACAGGACACATTAAGCTGCCTTCTGAAATATCCTTCCTGCTTCTTCTGCCCAGAAAAAAGCTATAGTTTAACCAGAAATTAAACTTCTGTCACTTACATGCCTCTTGCCACAAGTGCAAGCAATATTTATCTGCACATGCTGATATTTTATCCTGCCTGAGCCATTCATTACCTTCATTAGCAGGACACTGCCAGAAGTACAAAAATGCAAGGTATTCAGCCTATTATTATTCAGCTTTCTTCCTCAGAGTAAGGGTCTGTGTGTTATTTAATGTCTGATCCCAGTCCCTGGTGCAGCCTGGCCCATGCTGCTATCTCAGCTGCTGGGGGTCAGCGATGGCATTTCCTGAAAGGAATTTCTGCTCAGTTTGGATATGGATGAAAATTTTCCACAGATCAAGAACTGAAAATCCCTTAAAGAACTAGAAATGCCTCTTCTGAGCTTTCCTTGCCTACATTTATCCTCTTTCCTTCTCTTATTCCTGTTCCTTTTGCTTTTCTGTTGTCTCTCACAGCCACAGAGCTGGATGATCTCCCATGGCAGGCACAGGCTCTGAGCAAAGCACGCTGAATATTGCAGTGCCTCTATTGAAATGACTCCTAGTAACCAGAAAAATACACCTAAAGAATGTCATTGAAGCATCTGTTGTTCCTCCCTGGATCACTGTAGAGTAAAGCTGATCATAATACTGGGCTCCTTCATAGCAATATTTGTGGGGAAGGCACATATTAAAAAGAAAAGCAAATATTTTGAAATGAAAACACAATAAACATTAAAACAATCAAAGAAACAATAAACTATTTTCTCACAAAAACAGTTTGGGGAACACATTTCTTGGAAGCCTCCCTGTGTTAGTCAAGCTTTTCCTGAAAGGAGGCTTTGAACAAGGTACAACAATCCTGCTTCATTTCAAAGTTCTCTGTATAGAACACACATCACTTGGTCTTGTTAAAGGGTCTAATTCAGCAAGAAAGAAAGTGAGGCCAAGAAGAATGGTAAACAACTCCTTTCACACCAGGTACTGAAATAGAGACGAGATTCTGCTGTTGAACTAGATAACAATTCCCCCCATGAGTTGTACCCAAATATTTTTGCCTTGAACAAGAGACTACTGGAAGGAGAGCATTTTTGGAAGCAATTACAGAATATTGCAGTTACTCATTCTTCCAACTCCAGCTTACGCTGCTCCCTGCAGGTTTCCTGTTTACTCAAGGCCTCTGAGGACTCATTTCTCTTGTCAGCAGGAGTTAAAGACACTTAAGAAGAACAGAAAATCTCAACCTTTGCAAGCCAACCTCATTTGCCTCTCAACCAAAGTTTGCCCAGACCTTTTGGCCTAAATCCCAGTGCAGCACCTCTAGCATGGAAACTCATGCCAGGCAAAGAGAAATCCTTCATATCAGCACCCTAGAAATCCTTACCCTTATTGAACCGGATGTCCTTAAAAGAGCTTTGTTCCCCAAATAGCCTACTCCATCTCGGATAGGAACTCCAAACATTTGGGAAGTGCAGTAGGCTGTTCTTTGGAAGGTTGTATCCCACAAACTTGTTTTTCTTGAATCTTGCCTGAAAATGCCATGTCACCATTCAAGAATCTTTCTGTGGAGCTGATCACATTAAATTCTTCCCAAAACTTCTGCTGTTTCCTTCCTCTTGCTCCTATTCTTTAGCTGTCACTTGCTGTCTCTCTTGTTCCTGGCTTTGTGGCAACCATGCACCAGCGACCTCTTGGGGTTTTCTTGGTGATGTTATCTCACTGTCATTTAATTTTGGCTTTTGAAGTACATACCTTAGATTTGATAAAATCTCAGAGCAGCCAGTGTTTTGGGAGCAGAGCTCACTGGGTAGGGTTTGGGTCTTAAAAGACCTGTGTTCCTCCCATCTCCAGACCACACCCACTCAGCAGCTGTGGATAAGTAATATCTTCACATATTTGGCATTAATTTTCAAACTTTTTTTAGATTA